CTTAAAATCGTTGCATACTAGTATGTAATTCAATAAGAATTTTTTTTTGGCTTGGACTTTAAAGTTCCATCAATTTACAATAAGGATTATGGACCATAAATGGTGCTGAGTATATACATTCTAATAACTCTTATAAGCTACTCGTTTAAATTTTTATTTAGATGTATCAAAATCAGGGTCGTTATTTTAATTTTTTTTGGAATACTCATTATATCGAGCAGGCCTCTACATTTTTTCGAAATATTTTACATTATTAATGACTAGTTGACTCAATTAATACGAGGTTAGACGACATAACGCTTTGATTCAATTTACCCTTGATGATTAAGAGAGGGGAATTTTTTGATATCATTATTATTCAAAAAGCCATTCTTGCACTCTCCAGGTATAACTAATTAATTAATTTGTATTTCGTTCTTAACTATTGTACACTGCCTTAAGTCTTAAATTTGGCTGTCCCCAGTGGGCCAAAAGTGATGATATGGAATAAGTACTCAAACGTATACCTTCACTGAGTACCTCAAATGACGCCCCAGATCAAAATATTCCAAAGTTGGTATTCATTTGAAAAAAATATGCCTTTACTTTTTATTTATACAGCTAGGATACTTTTTAAAGTTCGATACAAATCTAAATAATTTTATGTGAGTAGGCTTACTTCCTTAAAAATTCCCAAAATTTAGAATTATAAATTATTAACGGAAAAAATGGAGATGAGCAATGATCATGCTTGGTGAATCACTCCGTATATCTATTGACATTTGACTGTACCTATATATTGAAGCAAACATTTTAAGTAATATGTTATCTATATTAAGTTATGTAATTTTATTGCAACAATGTTTTAAATAAAAAATCTATGTATAGGTTACTATTTTACAATGTTAGCTCCCCTGTATAATGTTATACGATTCCCATATGTGAATACATTAGCCAAAAAATTAGAATTTCAAGTAATAATAAAACTATATGCTATACCACCGATAATTATTTATTATTCGAGTCATTATTAGACACGAAACGTAGTCACGTAGATATTATACATTACGGTTAAATTCTATCGATTTTCTTCCAGTATAATATTATTATACTATACCTATAAGCCACGGCACACCCAAAAATGCATTAAGCTCTTCAACTTACGCCAGATTAACGTAAGTTTATTGATAAACAAAACAACTTGAGCCATGATGGCATGAGTACGTCTTCCTTACATTGTGTCAGTAGGTACCTACATTTAAATTATAACACTAGTTTATGAGAAAAAGCCCATTGATTTTCAACACCTTGATTCAAATTTAATTACCCCTTTCTATTTATAATTCTACCAAATATACTAGGGATAGATTTTTTACGATGGTAGCAATAGTTGCATAATCTGAGTATATTATAAGACAAATTTCAATCAAAATCAGTTTTTTGACCTATACGAAATGTGATTACATGTACAATTTTTAACAAATAGCTACGCCCAAAATGTTCCCTCAATCTACCCCTGATTTCTTTAATTCTTTGAGCACCCTTGTAAATTTTTAATTTGATTGCAGACTTATAGAAAACAGTAGTATGCCTGTTCTCCTGCTCCTGCAGTAATTAGTTGGTACCTATATACCTACATTCTACATATAACACTCTTCATCTCTTAATTATAACTAAATACCGGATTTAATTGCATTGAAAACACACAAACATTTCATATTAAAATTGTATAATTGCACTAAAAAATACGTAAAAATTGCATAATAAATTGCACTATAAAAATTTAAAAGTCATATAAAAAAATTAGATAAATGTTACTTTTTTAAATTAAAATTGATAATTAGATTCATTTTCAAATTATTTTCATTGAAATTAAATCTTCTATTACTTAAAATATGTTTGTACAAAGAAAAACTACGTTCTACGTCTACACTATAGTTATTGGTGCATACTTAAAACAGTTCAATAACGATATATCTTAATAATTAACATCTTTTTTACCTGACATGACTTCATAGTAAGATTTAATAGTTTTATACCCTTCATTTTTTTCAATTACATACATAAATTTGTCTTTAGTTTTTTTCCATCTGGGCCAGAATATTTGCTAAAATATCTTTAATTGTTCTAAATATATTCATACTTTCAAGTAGTTCACTATTCGATGCTTCCAAGTTTGTAAGATTAATGGGTAACTCAGATAAGTGTAATTTTACGAATGCTAAATCACATTTTACTGTACTATTTTGTACAAGTTATTTCAGTTTTTCCACACTGCAGATAGTATCGTCTTTTAAACTGTCAATCACATTTCCAAATTTTTCAAAATTATTTGCATAGAAAAGTGCAGCATTTAAACATGTATTCCCTACCTTGTAATAATGGGTTCGGGAGGTAAAGGTATACCCGGCATTTCTTTTCTATATTTATTGATTCTCGATGGTGCTTTTAAGAAAGTATTTTTTTTCCTAAAATAAACGAAATAAGTTACTATATATTTAGATCTTAAATATTAAATTTATTACCATTGTTATCAATCTATTTATGTCAGGATATAGTTCTCGAATTTTCTCTAGAACTCTATTGATTGTGTGCGCCATACATGTAGTATGAATCATTTTTGGTAAAACAATTTTTAATGTTTTTGCTATTTTAATCATGTAAGTACCACTAATAAAAAATAATACTTTTTGTTCAATACCAGGAAATATTTTTAACGAAGAATTAATAAACTGACAAATAGTTTCATAATTTGTGGATTCTAATTCTTTACATGCAACTAAATATGATTTACTAGGTGTCCCATCTAATTTACAATAGCCAAACCTAAACCAAAATAGTATATTTTATTATAATATGAAAAATTAAAAAAAAAAATTCTGTGCAAACCTCTTGGATCGGTCGTTTCGTCAGCAATTATATAAACGTAATTATTTCCGATTTCACTTATTATTTGGCCCATTACACTTTTATAAATATTTGGTATGTAATTTTTTCTCAAAGTACTTTCGTCCGGAATAGCATTGTCAGTATGCTTATAATTTATAACTTACAAATTACGTGTCTTCAAACTGTTAGAAAATTAATTAATTAATTATAGTAGCAACCGCAATTATTGCAAATTCACATTCACATAAAATAAAATTATAGATCGATTAATTTATTATTTAAAAATCATCGATTCTCGGCAAAGGTAATCTTCATTGAAGTTCATATAAATAAATTACTGGTATAATTATGTTATTTACATTTCTTACTTAAGTACCCAGGTATTAACTATTACACTTATACCTACTTGAATTCATTACAGGATTTGAAATTAAATATTTACACGAAATTAAGAATCGATTTAATACAGGGAAAATAAAAATCATAATAATGAGATTTGAGCTCAATATATTAAGCATAATAATAATAATTATTACATGTATAGTTTATCAATATTGTATATTCTAATTTATAGCACTATGAGTATAGGCTATTTTCGAATCGAAATTGACTGTAATAAATTAGAATAGTTAAATAACAGGCAACAAGGTATTATTGTTTTTATGAATATATCTACACAATATAATACGAGTATAATAAGACATACCTAATTTGCGTAAAAGCAGTGGTTGTTATAGATACCTGAACAATCTTTTCTTTATTATTATACCCGTTAAATGAACAAAAATGTAATCAACGCCCATGAAATTAAAACATGTACAGTAAATATTTTAATTTCATTTTTGCACTTAACAAGTATGAAAAATACGTATTTGACATGCCACATGCGTATAGATAATACAAGGAAGCTTATCGGGAATTAATGGATAGTTACCTATAGTCTATACCTACATACATAATATTATATTGGTATTAAAAAAGGTTTACTTAATATTAATATAGATGAATCAATTATGTGTTTCATACTTTATTACTTTAATATCGAAAAACCCCAAGGAATACCTATATTTTGACTGTCAATATTTTTATTTGTGTATAAGTTTAACAATTCGTTATGCAATTGTGTTTGAAGTCTATACAGTGTAAGAACCTACCTACTACCTATAGACTACCTACTAACTACTAAGTCTATTCTTTAGACATGATTTAGTATGCACTATATTATTTATTATTTATTGAGTACTTCTCATTAATAAAATTAAAATATATGGATAACAGTTTATAGTGTTTATGCTTTTATAGGTATATAAATGTATATTGTAATTAGATATCTATGTTAAAAGTTTTATTTTACTTACTTTTACTGAATATTTATGATTTGTTCACATACAGATACACAATAATAAGTAACCTTCAATGTTACTACAATAATGAGCCAATAATATATTATATTATGTAATATATATAATATATATATTATGCATAATATAATTATATCATAATACCTTTAAGTGGACCTTAGAATACCTATAATAATATACCTACGACCTACCTACCTACTACAAGCACATTGTAGAAAGATGTTTGATGTTTGGACCCTAGAATTGTGTTAAATTATAATAAATAAATAAATGGGTACATCGTATACATAGAAAAAAGTCTAGTGAATTATTAATAAATTAATATTATAAATTACAGCACAAGAATTTCAAATCTAATAACAGTTATATAATAAATCGAAATTGCTTATGTAAAATGTAGATTTAACTAATATCAATGAATGAGTATAATACAATTTGTCGAGTTGTGGAAATAATAGACGCGCGGGTGTGTTCGCATTATGTAGGCAAGTATAATATAGGTATCATATTTAAGGTTGATCTTAATGCATGACATACCGATTTCGACATTCGCGATTATACTATAGGCTTTAAAGAAGAAAAAAACAAAAGGCTCATAGCGTAACATGGAACAAATTACATAATAATATATATTTTTTACTGGAGAAGCCAAACAAACTGTGGTGGTGTACAGGAATACAATCTACCGTGTCTCACATATTTTCATTTGGAATATTGAACTAGAATTTTTAATTCAATTAGATACATAAGTTTATTGATTAGATTTTTTACCAGGTGCTCATTACAGTTTTATACCACCACATTCGAGTATCCACTGTAGTGACGATAAAGGTGTGTCTTTGCGTTCTAACTTCTACAAAGCCTTAAAGTAAAAAAAAATTTTAAAGACTTTGATTGTACTCAGGAAAAATAAAATTCAGCAAAATGGTAAGCTATATGAAGTAGATAACCTGGCTGTATTATTATTATTCAGGGCTTCGTTTCAAATTATTTATTAATGACTGATGAGAAGTTGCAAAATGTATGCAGTTACTATTTTTTTTCATGAAGTATTTTTTACGTGTTCTAGTTGAATGTGAAATCATTGCCTTCTTTCGTCGGCCGTTTGGCCACGTCAAACGCAACGCTAAACATCCGAAGCCTTTCTTCGTTACGACAAGCCGAAGTAAGATATCAAACTGATAAAATATAGATTATTATATATTATTATATTAAGTTGATAGAATATCTTTAAGTGGGTGTTTTTTTATTAATTTTTTTTGTACCTATATAAATTTAAATTTAAAGATAATTTAATGACATGTGTAAATATGTAATACCCATTGCTAATATTGTGGGTATTATTTAAAACTAAATTAAAACTATAAAAGTATATTTACATGACATTTTCTATAATTTTTAAAAACAAAATTACCATCGATGAAACGTATTATACACAATAAATCAAAATAAGTATACATATAGGTAATTACAGTGAACTATTCATAATTTATTTAATATGTCATCGTTGCTAAAATAGCAAATGTTGTAAGATCTTATGCAAAGCATGCATGAATATTATATTTTGACATTAAAAAAAACTTGTACCTAGCTTAATGCTATAAGGATTGTGTTTTGATCGTGATGTTTGATGTTTATCTATTTGAAGTTTTAGTTATTATTTATGTATTATTAACTGCATCATATTAAATAGTAGATAATAAGTAAAAAAACTCACTTTTTCGAATGATCAATATTTCCAAAAATACTTTTTGTTTTTAGATTTAAAAAAAATATGTTCCGATTTATTTTGAGTGATATTAGTAAAATACATATTTTTTAAATTAATAAGAACTATGTACTTACCATCTTGTATAACATTTAAAAAAAATAGATTACAGTCCCATGTGGCACTGATGCCTTATACAATATACATTCTATGAATTATAATAGTACAGAACTACCTATATTATAAAAAATCAAATTGCATGTTTTTATACTTAAATAAGTTATTACTGCTTACTTCGATCGAATTCTACGTCCTCCGCCGTGATTATGATAACATCTATCTAATTGTTCGTATCTTCTTTAACATCCATTCCCAATGTTCTAAAATATTTTATCAGCCACACATAATATTTAGGTCTTCCCAAATATCTTTAGTTTTGAGACTCCAGTTCAAGGCCTCCTGCGTGTTAATGAACAATACGTTATTGGTGTACAATAATTGTTTAAATTATTAAGTACCTACCTATACCTAAACTGACTATGCTTCAAACAAACCGTAGATTTAGCTAATCCTTGGTAGTTCTCAAAAAAACAGCAAAAAGATATTGACGTTTTCAGAATGTACCTAACTGGTTGTAAAAATATGCCGTCTATTGATGTAGCTTATCCATGTTTCGATTTTAAATGCATCGAAGATTATTTCTGCGCATTCGCCCACCTACGCGTATATATTATATAATATACCTACTTATAATAGTAGGTATATTCTTTTACTTTAAAAATATGTGTATATTATGGTGCATGGTTAACGGTTAAGTACTTACATAAAATATATTATTACCTTTATACCAAGGTAGTGTATATGGCTAATAATTGCCAATAGGTAGATATAGCTTCAAATGATATATTATAATGTTACATTAGATATCTGATACATATAGGTGGTTAATAAGTTTTCACTCGAAAAACTGCACTTGCACGTTCAATAGAGAATGTAGTAGGTAAGTAGGTGTAGGTATGTCGTGGTATCATGTTGGTCTTCTAATCGCATTTTTCAGTTTATTTTATAATAGTAGGTATTTATTCGCAATTAAACAGTTTATTGGTAAATTGTTGTCTTTAAATCATGAATACAAAACATATGCCTAGTTTTTGACTTTATATTTTTTCGGTATAGGTATACATTGTTATATTTTTTATAATATGAGTAAAAAAGCCGATAATTTCTTTTTGTGTTACGTCATGACATGAATTTAAGTATTTGTGCTCGAAAAACGTGATTTTAAATATTACAAGCTATACAAGCTGAATTCGTACAAACAAATATACAGCCATTGGTAAACACTTCTTGTTAAATGTTAAAAATAGTATATATCAATCGATATAGTGTCTAATGAAACATATTCTCGATCGCCATAATTCATAAATTGGGTCAGTGAGGCAGTTAGACTTATTTTAGTATGGGCGTAGAACTCGATCGATATTTTTTGGTAGTTGACTATTGTTGGAAATATTAAAAGTCAAGCAATGAAGTTAGTACCTTTAGACTTTAGGTAAATAAGGTTAAAGCATTTAGTTTAATGTACAATAATAATAATTACAACATAGTTTTTTTTAAATTTAATTAAAGGGAAGTACACGTTTCCATAAAAATAATTTTGATATGTTTATCCTGTATAGTCTGTCTACAATTCAATATATTAAAACATCAATAATAAAACAAGGAAAACTATTACTACCTGTCTATACCTACCTACCTAGGTACTAATAAGTAATTATTGTGGTATTTTTAATATACATGAAACATTAACTACAGTATACACACTGTTATTTTTCCTTGAATTATTTTATATTATAAAGTTCGAGATAAATATTGACGTATCGTAAATTGCTCATAAATGTATAATATTATGTACTACCTATATAACAAGCATGATTAATAAATATTAATAAATATAGGTAATGGGTCTAGCCATATATAAGACGTACCTACTTAATAATATTAAGTGTTAAAGTGTTTGGTATTAATATTTAAATTAATTTATGACAATATCAATATATACAGTAGCACTAGCACTACTGGTATATAATATAAGTATTGTACCAACAAAAACATATTATAACTAATTTGTAAATTGCCATTATTATATATATATTATACTTTATAACATAGTATAACTATTCAAGTATAATTAAATGGTTAAAGAAATAAGGAATGAATAAATCATAGAGCTATTATGAATGTAAAAACTTTCCATCACGATCTTTAATGAATATCTTATTGCCTAAATATGGATCTCGTCTATATTTAGTAATCGGTAATCACTATATAAAGTATTAGGCACCAGGTAAAATATTTACTTTCATTAATAATAATTTTGCCTTAATAATGATTTTTAAAGTTTTCCTTGACAACTTAGTTTATTTTTTGTATATTCTTTATCATTTTAGTGGACAATCGTCGATGATTCATTAAAATATAAAATTACTATATAACCGAAGCATTTACAACAGACAACTTATTTTGTTTAAAATACTGATGTATTGCATTAAAAAAAAAAAAATATTTGGTTAGATAAATTTTAATATCATGACTCTTTACGGCTAGTGTGTTTAAATTGTAATAGGTATATGCTGTGTTAAAGCAATGTACAATGTTGGTACCTAAAAAGTTGATTCCAATTTTTATTACATATTGGTACTTAAATATTATATTTTATTCTTAAAAATTCAAATAGATAATAATATTGTTTGATTCTGAAAAACATTAGGTATTTTTAGTACCTGTATTGATTAATATTTAATTTGTCATTTTTAAATTTTCTCTTAAATAAAACCATTTAAACTCTGAGAAAAGTGAAAAATTCATATCCCTCTCTCCCATTTCAAAAAAACTGAGCACGCCATTGATTTCTCTATAAGTATTTTAACTAAAAATTTAAAAAATGAACTGGCTAGAACTACAGATGTCGGGACTTAAGAGTTCGTACACTGTACAGGTATAGCCGAATGGGTAATAATAATTCGACAGTTTCACAATTTAATCAATTTTAAAGTCTAGGTGTATTAAAATTAATATAAACTTAACATGAAGAATCTGTCTTAAAATGTATCACACAAGACATAAATTATACACTCTTCTAAATGTAATAAAATACAACTTAAGGAATACAACCTTAGTAAATAAGGAAGCCAACTTTTGTTTCATACCTATACGTACTGTTTTAATAAGAAGAATATCTAATATTTTAATATGTGATCGTACACGTAATATTATGATAAATGCGTAGGTAGAACCATCGAGTATAATGTATTGTACAATATATTTATGTATTTGAATATATATAAAATATAATTAATTATATTTTTCAACATAATATTGTGAATATTTGTTTACAGGTCGAATCTTTGCATGAACATAGTGGTCTGCATAAAATAAATACATCTTCGAAAAATCCTATTGACATTTTTAGTAAATGGTACAACGAACACATGGCAGCTAATGCATCCGTGACTTCTGCTAAAGCATTTAGCTTGGCCACCGTTTCTAGGTAAGATGGCATCACATATTTGAAAATACAATATTATATTCCATAGGTATAGTCTAAAAGTCTATAGATTTAAAAAATCAGAGTAGGTATACAATATATAAAATGTATTAAAAACATGATTGTCATTTAGGTCTCCGGTGTTTGAACAGTCTTAATATGGTAACACTAACCTATCTATAATATTTTAGGGCAGAGTAAAGAATTATTATTAAATATTGCGATAGTACGGCTACGGCACTACGGTCTAAGGAGGTGTTATAACTGTTGTTTTATGAACAAACTTCTGAAAAATATCTTTACATACTTTCATTATATGTAGCATAACTATTATTAGTGTATTGAAAATAAGTGATTTATTGTCATATTGATGTAATAATTACATCATTAATTATCATGCATTTCTATTTTTGTTTAATAAAACAATTGCCAAACGTCATAAACATAGGTAATACTTAGGGAAACATAACTAATAACCTAACGTTGTTAATGTACAAGTTGTTGGTTTTGATCTTATAATAAATGGATTTAAATATGATTTGTCAAGTTTGTTCCAGTAGTAGGTACACCTAAAATTAAAAATGTTAATTTTAGAAATTGGCTATTCTACAAAACAAATGAGCACAGTTGCGCTGGGAAATTAAATTTACCTTATGTTCAATATCTACTTTTTAGTTATGTGAATTTTAGTAATTTTACAGAAATGTATAGATTCATATTTTAATGTAGTATGCACCACTAAAATATTTGTTTTTTGGAATAGCAACCACTTTATTTTTCTCAGATATGGATATTTCAAACTTTTTTTCATCTATCATAAGAACTTGGTTGTCCTTTGAAAAATTTAGTGAAGTTATATTAAGTTTGGAAATAGATTTATATTTTTTAATAGTTTTAAGAAATTTTTTTTTTAATATTTAGATATGACATAAATGTATACATGTATTAAATTAAACCATAACATGTTCTTCAAAATGATAGTGTAAAATTGTTGAATCTATTTAAAGATTGAATACTTCTAATATTCAATCAATTTTCGGGCCAGGACTAAAGATTAAAAAAAGTGTCTAGAAATCAATTTCTTTAGCAGAAGTTCCTCCAAAAACAAGAAAAAATTATTAACAACCATCGAAAATGTTTGAAAAATGTCAACAATCTTAATTTTTACCATTCCCCCGTCTCCGCTTAGATGCCTTAGAATAAAATTGTATAGTGATTTGTGAATTAGATGATTTAGGACTTTGACGAAGTCAAGCGAAGACTTAACACCCGATAACTGCAGTTACTTGTTAGTTGTTTTGTTTGGTTTTAGATTCTGAGAGGAGCGATAAATGTATTTATTTTACAATGATGTGTGTGTTTTTTGTGTGTCTGTGTACTCGATAAGTAGGTAGTATAAGTAGTGCTTCGATTTTGAACTTCAGTATTTTTTCTGGTTAAATAATTCATTTACAGTCTTTGAAATATAGGCACCTAATTCATGATTTTTCTCTAGGATAATGATATTTTCATAAAGTAATAACTAATTAACTAATAAAATAGATAAGTTATAACTTATAATTGATTCAGTTTAAAATTTTGATCAACATTGAAAATAATTTCTGTATAACTGTTATATACATATTTTATTACGAAGTGTGGAAATCTCCACTATCTTATAATGAACAGTAATATTTTATTTTTGTCTTGGGTTTCAGCACCGGAAAGGTATCTTGTCGTAGTTTAATATTACGACGCTTGGATGAAGACGGATTTGTGATGATGACTGATGGAAGAAGTAGAAAATCAAAGGATTTGGTAATTTAACACCAAACCTTATATTATAATATACCTTCAGCAAACACATAGTTGTATTAACAAATCGATAGGTCAATAAAAACCATCTAAGTTATAATATTATAAGAATTCAATTTACGTAATAGATCTTAACTAAAATAAAAATAATGAATGTTTGAAATAATTGTGTCAGACAGATAAACGTATATAGTATAGCTGTATAAGTGATACGTATACCTACCTAAGACCTATAGTTTAACAGTTTTTAGTTAGGTATTTAGTACTATAACTCATACTATACTTTATATTATGTAATGGTAAGATATACCATATTATTATATAATGTGACTTTAAGTTTCAAAATATTTCTAGAAATTACGTTACATAAAATATAAATAGGTATGTTAGGTACAATATAAGTTTACAATATTCACCAAAAAATACTAATCATCGCTTAAATGGTAGTTTAAAATGAAAAATATGTAATGTATTTTCAGTAGTTACAAAGGATCAAATTTGAACTGTAAGAATAATTAAATAATTGTATTACTTACCTACATTCCACAAGTATAAAATAGTTAATAACATTAATATAATATATTATATTTTGTTGTATTATAAAAGTGTACATATAACATAATATCCTACATAGATACTTGGGTAATATAAATATTAAAAAAAAAAATATATATATAATATTATATATATCTATGATGATTTCTTACTGATAATTTATCTTTTATAAAGTGTGAGCGTATATCATTATTTCATTTTATCGTATTTGTTTGAGCTATTATAATAATTACCGATAATAATATAATAACCTATAATAATTTATCTATCTATGGGTTAGGTTAGGAGGCTTCAACCTTTGGCCCGCGGCCTCTTTTTATAAGGCTAATGATTAATGGTTTCGGTTTTTGTTACCTAGTAAAGAATCACGTGAAAATATTTTTTCATGTATAAAAATAAAATTATTAAATCTAATACTAAAACTCAGTAACTATACTTATTACAAAATTAATAAAACTAAAACAATGTCAAAAATCAGAGTATCAAAAGATACCGTTTTGGAGAATAACCAAATAAGTATGAATAGTGGATAGGTCCATAGGTAAATTAATATTTTGTAATAGTGTATAGTAATGTACATTGTCATTTGAAATATACAAAATACATGATAAATGATTAATAATGAATTTTTAACTTTAAAACATATTGGTATAGTAATATTGTAATATATTAATCTATACAATCAACATTAATATAAATTTTGCAATTAATAAAATAAAACCATTCTCAATATACATAATGTAAATAATCAATAGTGAACCCTATTTTTAAAAACGTTCTCATCAAGTTTTTATGTTACTTAGAAAAAATAATTTCACTTGCTCAAACGTAGTGATGTGAGTCTTGTATCTTGTAAATTTACCGTTTACAATTTTACCGGTAAGATAAATTTATAAAAAAAATTACGATTTTTATTTTTTTTTACCTTTCAAAAAGTTGAGTGATCACTTTATTTCTATATTTTTGTATTTTTATATTTATTATAAGTTTGTATAAGATATTAGGATCTTAATTTATAATAAAAATCAAAATTTTTATAAAATTGTAATGGCCGATACGTGATACGAATTATCGTGGTATAAATGTCGATAAGCATTGTGTCACTGCAATATGCTAATGTGGTTACTGGTTATAGGTACTGGTAGTTTAATACGATGGGATAGGGGATAACGGATAAGGGATTAAATAATAATGCTTTATTTTATAATTATCTTACCTTCTTCGCATAATATTGTGAAAAAAATCCAATAGGTACACTATTAATTGAATTTTAATAAAAATTAATCAACTTTACCGTACATTTTATAAAATTACTCGGTAAATTACCAAAAAATGTTTTTACCTGAAATTCACATCACTATACTCAAACGGTATGAATGATAGTCACCCAAACGGATTATTAATTTTTGGTAAAAATTATTACCTTAATCCAAACGACCATTGCCCTTTATAACACACATTAAATGTAATATTATAATGTATTGTCATTTATAATAATTTCTGAATAATTCACCTTCATCTGACAGAAAATGGGAGGATTGAATGATGATAAATGACATTTGAAGGCGGAGTATTTGGAACAGTGTTGTAAAATAAATAGTGAAATCATTCAAAAGTTTCTTTGGAAAAGTAGAAAAACCAAATAAAATGCATGACCCACTCTTGCCAAAAAAATGGGGGAAAAGAAACAGGAGGAGACTAGGGTGGATACTTCAATAAATTCATAAAAAAAAAAGTTATAGTTCAATAGTGTCGTCAGAAACATGGTTCACGAAAAAATCCTATATTCTTTTGAATACATAATATATTATTATATATATAGATAATAGATACGCAATACTCATTATAGAAATTATGGTATAGAGGGGTTCTATTAAATTAAAATTTCAACATGTTGCATTTAAATACTTTTTAAGTCAATAAATTTAATTTGTGTTGGATATCGTGTAATTAAGTTCTAATGTACCTATGTGTAATTTACAATTGTGTGTATAGGCGGAAAATCCTCAGGCTTCCATGTTGTTTTTGTGGTTGGACCGAACATCAGATAACTTGCCTCAAACCAGACAGGTGCGTATCGAAGGAACTGTCAACAAGCTAACCACAGACAACATGAAAGAGCTGTACGACATTGAACCGCTGTTTTGTAAGATCCGCGCGCAGATCTGTGAACAAGGAAAGGTGGTAGAGTGGGAGCAACTAAAGCGCGACCACGATCAGTTGTTCGATAAAGTATCCAAGTATAATGTCCAACTCCCCAAGCCCGACCACGTGTAAGTACCAATATTTATGTTTAAAATATATCTACTATACTTATGTGCGGAGTATTTAATGATCGTACCACTGGAAGAGTGCATGCGTGACTCTGAGCATAGATTGGCCATAAAACGTATAGAGGAGATTGCGTGGAAAAGATTTAAAACATGATCGATTAACAGAAAATTAAAATGTTATAAAAACATAGTTAGTATTTATCAATCATTTGTATTTGAGTGCATAACATTTTAAGGTACCATACAATTTCAAATTGTTTTAATTGAATAATTTAATGTAGTACCTATGTACAATACTACATACTTAATACCTAGTATTATATATGACAGTTTAAAATATTTACAATTCGCTTGAAAATAAAAATATTGTGAAAATCAACGTTTACACTTTACAGGCACAGCTAATGTTCTTACCTAGTTTGATTTATAAGTCAATTCACTCTGATATTAAAGATGGAAAAACAAAATTGGTTCAATTGATCGAAATTTTATATGTAGTACACTTGTACGTTTGTAGGACGAAGACAACATGTCATGGGGGTGTTACCTTTTTTTAAAGCTATAACTAGGTACTTCACTCGTATACAATTTTAATAAGTACTTAAATCAATTACATTTTAAATTAAATATATTAGTAGGCAATATTTTTTTCTGTCGATAGTGAATTTGATCATTAATAGAATTCTATAATGAATTACAATATAATATAATCAATCATAAACTACCTATACGTACTTCATATTATATTTTCAAGCATTTTTACTTACAAAAACAATTTTATTACACACAAAAAAAAAATTAATTAAAAATGTCTGCAATTAGCCCAAAAATATCCAAAATTTGTTGAAATTTATATTATAGCTAAAAAATGGTAGGTATTCTCATATTTAGCTAAGAATTCAAGTCTTTCTATGGTTATCCATTCTTGAAATCAAACCTAACCTAACCTTAAATACAACAACAAAATCTTATATAATATTATATTAAATTTTACAGGCAGGTATACCTAATATTCATTTTTTACAGCATTATTACAAAAACGCAAACTTGATGTAAAAATCTTTATGAATAGCTTATATGGTATAAAAAGGGCACTTACCTTATTATAGCTGCTACCTTAGGGCATTGACTATCTACATATATGCTTACATCATTTCGTTTATGTTATTATTTGTTACATATTTAAATTCAAAATATCGTTATTCATAATAATATAAAATAGGTCTGCTTGTCTATTAAAACTTGAATTGTTTATAGAACTACCTTTATATGATTTAATGATTCTGTTTTGATACACTCAAGTTCTGTTTAAGTTATAAGCAATAATCCCACTAGTCGTCGTCGCTGCAGACATGTACTTACAATACCTATAATAATTAATATTTAATAGCAACCTTACATAATATTATAATGGTTACTGTTCCTCCTACCTACGTATTTTTGAGACACATTAGTCCAATATTAAAACGATTTTTGGATCCTTATCGATTCGATTGATGCATGTATACAATATTATACATCATATAGAATATTATGCATTAATCATTAATGCATTCAACTTTATAATAAACTTCATTATTATTTATGCACTGGGGGTCTGAGTTGATAAGGAAATAAAGTGGTTGGACGAGGTTAACGTATAAAAGACAAAAGGACTGATCGTGCTCTTTAGGTTACAGTTACGTTTATTGTTATAGCCCCCCCCCCCCACACCCAATAACAAAATATAGAGAAATTTACTATATGATATTTAGTTCATTTATGTAGCTCTAGGTAAGTAGGTCTAGATAGTACTATCTAACGTTGAATGTATATTATTGTATTAATAAATGATGCTACCCAAGGCCAAGCAATACGCAGACAGTTTGGTCCCTCGTAGTGACACCAGTGGCGTATGGTTAACCCCCTGGGTCTTGATAGGCATAATAACGTCGTATCTATATTATAGAAATATAGAATAAAATTGATATGTTTGGGCGAGTGAAGCCATAAGAAAAAAAAGGTAGCTAGTAAGCTGAAGTCGGTTGTTATTATAGTCAATGGCCAATGATGTTAATTAAAGAGTATACCTGTATAACGGTTATAAAACTTATAATATAGGTTGTATTTGACTGTACAAACCTATACTGTTGTAGATAAAGTCGTACTCAAGTTTTGTGCTCAAAACAATGCAAATGCATTGAACAAATAATTCGTTGTAGTTCTAAGAGTAAACTCATTAATTCAGAATGGGTAAATGAAAATTTGTCACGTTGATCATTGATTAATATTACAATTACATCACTTATTTTACTCACTAATCACTATTAACTGACAAATCACAACCATTGACAATTCTCAATAGATATAATATAATCATACAATTTCCCAAGCGATAACTGAAATTGTTTTTATAACTATATATAATAGGTACTGTGAAAATTAAATGAAACCAAATAAATGTAGTGTCAAGTATTGTTGCTATACAATGTTGTTAGACATGAAAAAAAAATGTATAGGAATAACTAAGTAACAACTGTTGACGTGAGTGTTATTTATATTTATTTTTTTAATTACAGTGTTGCATATAAGCTCGTGCCCAATGTGATTGAATTTTATGAAGCGATTGGCCAGAAAATCGGTGATAGACTGTTGTTCACCAAAGATGGCATTTCATGGCAACCAAAACATATAGCTGCATAGTATTAGAAACACTTATTTTATTACAGGAAATGATTTTAAAAAATGATATGAGTGAATCACGCACCATGTTTGTTTATTTTTTGTACACCATAGTTGATCAGAAAAAATACATTTTCTAATGATATACATTTTTTTCAATTTGAAAATATTATTCACTTTTTTAAACGAACAACTTATGTGTTAAATATTATTTGAAATTCAAGAACATCATATTGTTTGCAGGTTAAATAATATACTAGCTGCATGTATTGCAGGTTTGACAGATAATCGTTTTCCAAATATGCAGATTATAATTTACCTGTATAGCTTTATACTTACTATACTGCATTCAATATGGTAGGTATACCTAGTTATTTTTCAGTTTTAACATAATATATCCACGATACGCTAGTATACTGCAGCCGCGCTGCCTCACCTGTGATTACACAACAATATCTTAGGTAAAAATGAACAGTGCCAATAAAATGTATATTTTTAATAAATATTTAAAAGATAATTAATATCCAGTGCATATACGTAAAATACGTGTTTATGTTCGATCAAGAGAAAATAATTTAAATATACTTCAAATATAATAATAATAAATAAAGATTTATTTTATCCTGATTGTTTAAAAAAAAAAATTTACTCCGTATTATAATTATTATTATTATTTCATCGCGGCTGAAACCTGTTATCTTTTGGGTGTGTTAACACTGATGTTGACGAAAGCTTCATTATAACTGATCACTATTAGTCAGTTGATATCGCGACAACTTTAGAGAGAATTTATTTATTGATATTTGAATTAATTATTCAATTGTGTTGAGTGTTGATTGCGATTTTAGCATAATGTCTGAAATATATCGTAGAAGTAACTAGTAACTGTTGGCAGATTATGCTAATTTACAAAAAATGTGAATGTATCCCATATTCCCATGCGTATACTGTATATAACTTAAAATGGTATAATACCTACCTATACTACTTATATTATTTTTTATTTAATGTATTATTTCGACATTAAAATAGTGATCTTATTGATATGGCATAGATAATAAAGTCATAGAGACTATAGGATTTGAGGTGACTAGGTGATATGTGGAGCATATATATCGATATCATTATAGATTTAGGTTCAGTAGTTCTCAAACAATTTCTGGAGTAAAACACACATTCATTTTTTAGTTGAAGTCAGAATTTAACTTTTGTTAGAAAGCGATCATGGTGGTAAACGGAAAACAGTCGAAGGTTTCTTTGGCGGAAAATTGTTATAAGCTTATTCTATGTATATTTATAAACTGTATATGGTGTGGACTTAAGGGTTAAGGTGGTCTTAAGCCTTAGGTCAAATACCTAATTTAATTGGAATTATAAGTTCAAAATTATTTTATTTCAAATTTCACCAAAATAAATTTGTTTAATATTATGTATATGCGTCGCCAAAGCTTACAAATAAGAAAATGTCATAAGATATAATAAGATATATATATAATATATATATCATAATAAGACATCTTCCATGTTCTAAGTTCTAACTAAAATAAACAGTTGTGCTAATTTAAGTCTTTAGAGATTTAACGATTCGATTACATTTTCACTTTAAAATTTGATCAATTCGAGTGTTTTTTTTTAAATTTAATTATTTTTGTAAAATATTATTACTAAAACAATCCCACCAAGAACCGTTTTCCAGTCAAATGTTTTCATTTTAATACATCTAAGGTTTTAGTTTACAACTCTGTTACAATTTAAACTTCAAAGAAAACAAATATTCGAAATTATTAGATCATAATCATATTTTTATGTAAAATCAAAATATTATTAAAAGGCAAATTTGTAAGTTCCGTTTCCGGCATTAAGCTATTTATTTTTTGCTTGTGAGCTTGCCAAAACACCGGAGTAACCTTACACTGCATGTTCATATATTTCATAAGTCTAAAATAGGTAGACATTATTTTTTTCCAGTTCTAAATATGTAAACGAAATCTTAATATAGTTGTTTTCGAGTAAATAATTGTCGTCATTAAAGATATACTATATGTATTATTTTATTACCTTAACTAATATTATAATAACTATTGATCGTCCGAATAATTGCTACTACAATTAAAATTAAAATGTTCGAGTTAAAAAATTAAAGGGCAATTCAAAATCATGTATTTTTAAATCATGCCTTTGCACATATATTTTGTAGATAAGAGGACCGACTGCCTATTAAAAAGAGAGAGGGAGAATAATTGCAATTTGCTTCAGGGTCTAGATAATTCTGTACCCGGATATCAGGGTATGTAATCATACTTTTATGCATATTACCATAACTTATTAGTTACCTATAGGAATACTCAAATACATACTGCAGTAGGTGTATATTCATACTGTAAATTGAGAGATTTTGAAAATTGTCCATCAAAATTTTATTTTATTATAATAACTCAAATCTTCATGATTTTTCGTACTCTCTAGCATATCAGGTATCTAACTACAACACTACTATATATGGCTAATAGCTATATCTATTGTGAAATAATAAAATGAAAACCTTCACAATAGTACTCAAACAAAGCTTTTACTGATGAAACAAAAATATAATACAATATTTGTATACACATACAAATAAATATATACAATTAAAAATAGATAATTCAATACGTATAAGTATATGATTCTACTACACATTACACAAAATGTTTCAATCACTCCATATAACTTATGAGTTTCAACTCCCAACTAATGGTTCTACTTCTTAGTATTGTCGTTTGTTAATATTGACCATCAGTGGCGTGGCGAAGTGAAATATTTAATCAGGCCATTCATTTTTTGAATTACCTACCGTTCCTTGACTACTTAAAATAATATTTATTATTAAAATTAGTTATTATTCTTATTGAATATCATATTATTCATGTAGTACAATTTCTCACTAAATCGAGTACTCACCCACTCAGCACCCATTCACCTAACCCTTTAAAAATGTTGTGGTTACTGCAATTCAAAATCAAGCCACTGTTGACCATTGTAATTCTGACATTTTTATCAAATAATTGTATTCGAATTTTGAGTATTTTTTTAGATATGATATAGTTTATCATGAAATTGTGTAAATTATTTTGCGGTGGCAGAATATACGATATACCTATTCATATTATACATATGTCAACAATCATAGGTACCAGAGGCATGGCAATGTTGTAAGAGGTAAGAGGTTACATACTTAAGTTATTTTTACAGCAGTTCGATGATATCTAAAATTCTAAGCCAGAACATTTTATGTAAGTATTTGAATTTCAAATGTTGACGAAATTAGGCTGTAAAACTTATGAAACGAAAAATGTTGATTAACCTAAAACCAATTCAATTATTTTGTTGTAATTTGATAGTTATTAACCGTCACAACAACTTGTCACACTTGTCACTTTTCGTCATTTCTATACGTATATTATTATTTTCTATATTAAACTTCACACCGAAATTTTCAAAATATTTTAACTTATTTAAAGCTATTAATACCACTAATCTAGAATATACATTGTTATCACCATTCCACTGTACCTACGTCGGCACATACATTTAAATTTTAATCGCCACGAATGGTATAATAAATAATCACTATCATAGTAACACGTATTTATAGTCACTGGCCACTGTGCGCAATGTTAACACAGTTATTTATAGTCTCATTGATTAAATTGTATATTTTAAGTAGGTAGTTCAATGGTCAATTTAATAGGCTTATAACATTCACCGTGATATACACTATCATACAAAAAAAAAACTCTACGACTATGAGTGGTTTTCTACAAAAATCATTGGTATCAACAATTCTTGTTTTCACATATATATACTATAGATTAGTAATTAATAAATGAGTCTTGCTTATAGGGCACAATACTATCATTGACTTCTGGGCTGGTCCTTTAGTACATTTTAAGTATTTTGACCAACAAAGAATCGACCACTGTTTTCAATGTGTTGCACACGGAATCCATATATCTACACGCTTATACAGTGTATTTTGAGCCAGTTTGGTAGTTATGATTTTGTTCTGAGGGTTGAGGATGGATCATTTTTTTAAATAAACGTCGAGTGGAGAAAGTTTCCCCTACAATATCATAAAGCTTTTTTATACACAGTGAAATAATTACTTATATTATTTAACAACACATTGTTTTAATCTATAATATATAAAAAAGTCATATATGGCTATTTCTCAAAAATGACAAAACAAATAAACTTGTAAATTGAAATTAAAACTTTATAATACCTATATTTTTTGGTTACAGTGTGAGTTACTTGTAGACACCTTGTTCTAAATTTTCAATCCATAGCTATACAAATTGAACGTTTTAAAAATTGTTCAACTACAAAATAATTTACAACGATTTCAAGATTTTGAAAAGTATTGTCAAATTTGAACTTTTAATGCTTATCAAAAAAATTCTTGAAGTATCTTTAAAATTTATATAACTGCTATTATAACAACTTGCAAGGAACTTTGTATTACATCTTTAAGCTTTTCAACAGCACATAAAAAATATTGAAAATTTCAAATGCCTATAAATATCTCAAAACTGACAAAAGAATATAGACGATTATAAAATAAACAATCGGTGAAAATGTAAAGTATCTATATTAGTTATTAGTTTTTGAGTTACATCAAAAAATCAAATCGGCTTTGTTAAAAACTGGGTTTTCGTCAAAAATCCTCGTATTATTCTTTATTTTTATTTTTTCGCGATAAAAAAAGATCTGAAAATTTTCAATTTTTACCTTTAAAAAGTACAATCTAGATTCAATTTTCTTTCAGAAGCCATCTTCAAAGTTGAAAATCGTATAAAGTAGTAAAATCTGTATACTGATGTAAAAAAAATTTTAAAACATATCATTAAAACAATGCATTCATATCTCCTCTCAGAATGTAAAAAATCTGGAGCTTGGAGGGATATATAATTAAGCCCCTGTTTTGAGTAGGTATATACCTAATATACTTGGAATAATATTATAGTGCTTATGTTGACTGCTGAGATAAAAAACAACTAACTGGTTGGTATGTAGTACAAAGGCGAGGTCGGCCGATCTAGGTA